GCAATTCCGCACACTGGGTGCTGTGGTGGTACACGCGTCGTTTGACAAGATCATCGTCTCCACTAACAAGACCACGCCGGTTGATGCCCTGGCGTATATCACATTTGTACTCAACAGTATCCGCCATCAGGTACAAGTTTGTTTTATCATAGAGGCAACCCGGTAGACGGGACGTGAGTGGTCAGTAGCTCACATACACGTGTGTTTGTCTACGTGCTTCTCTACTGTGTGTTTGTCCGTGCGTGTGACTCATACGTGCGTACTTTAGTGGGGCGGGTGTGTGATCGTATCAGACTGTAGGCTTGCCTTATACATACCCAACGGGTGAGTGAGTTTTAGGGTTTAGCTGTGTGCCTAGTGCTTCGTTTCAACATGTTTATACCCGTATACACCTCATTTTAAACCGTTTGTACGCGTACATGTTTATACCCGTATGCACCTCATTTTAAACCGTTTGTACGCGTATAGGATGCCTTCAACATCATGTCACTGGCTCCTGTGGCCATGTACGAGCAACTGATCTGGAAAGACCCGGCTAACTACGGCTGCATTGAAGTGGGTAAGCACCTGCTACAACCACCGGAGGAGGAGGTACCGAACATCCCCGAAGAGTCACAGGTGATGGACAGGAATAGCGGTACGAAAACCGGCACGAGTGCGGGGCAGGACAGGGGAGAAGGGCCGGAGGAAAGTACGCGAAAGAGCACGCAGACCCAGGGAGTGAATGATACGTTTGATCTTAATAATATGAGCATGGACTTGGGGGTGGACACTCAGGAGCTCAGCAGTTTACCTACTCAGGTAGGTAGATTCATACCGTCTGGGGGGTGGGCTGTTAATTGCAGCGGTCTGTGTAGTGAAGTTGTTGGTTCAGTCCTGGTTGGTGCTGTTGTGATTGTTGTGGTTAGTGGCACGAGTAAGTTATCTGTTAACTGTTGCCAATATATTTGGGGAGACATTCGCATACGTACTCAACATATATGGAGACCCCTCGAGAAGTATTGTTAAGACGATTGACAAATCATCGGCATACGATACTGTCACACATGTGAATCTATTGGTATTCATTCTCATCCCGTGTATAAACTAATTCGTAGCCGTTCTTCACACCTGTGTATATAATTTGGTACAGGCGCAGGGCAGCTCCCTGGATCTGAGTCAAAACGCACAAAGGATGCCCGATGATACGCTCCTGTTCAGTGACACAGAACTTGACATGGACATGGACTCGGCACAACCCATACAGAGTGATACAACGGCACATGGAAATATATATGGGAAGGAGAGTGGGAACGATATAGACGGTAACCATGGCAACGGCGCAGCGACCGATGACATGGACGAAGACGATGACATATATAATGATATCAATAACAATAATAATAGAACTGATAACGGAATCAGGAATAATAAGAGGAGGAGGGGGAAGTGCCAGATAAACGACAGCGATGTGAGCAGTGCGAATGAGGATGAGACTGATACAGAGCCTCTGGAGGAAGGCACACAGCATGTCAACGAACGGCGCAAGGAGGATCAGATCATTATGAAGTGGAACATGTCACAGTACTTGCCTCAGGAGGTGCAGACGGTATGTGCATGTGACTGTGTCTGTGGTGTTATTGGTTGATATGCACATGTGGCTGGTGGTTTGTCTGCTGTTTGGTATATGTCAGCGTTGGCAATTTGACGTGTATGTAGCGCAATGAATTCTGAACACACATAAAACGAACATATATATGTATATATATATCTATCTATATATATATATATATATATATATATATATGTGTGTGTGTGTGTGTGTGTGTGTGTGTGTGTGTGTGTGTTGTGTGTAC